TGCAGCAGCCTTTATTGAGGACCCCCCCGAAAGGGCTGCGAGCAGCCCCTTGCCCCCCCCCCGGGGAGCATCCCCCCCTTCCCCCGGGGCAGGAAATGGCTGCCCTGGCTCCGCCACCGGCTCCTTATGCCGACGCCGCCCGAGCTTTGGCCTCCCCGTAGCGCCGCATCCTCTCCTCCAGCTCCGGTCGGAAGTGGCGGATGAGACCCTGCGCGAGCAGGACGAGTTAAGGGGGTGGGAAGGATGATGGGCACTCCCCCCACCACCTTCAAGACCCCATTCCTGGCCCCAAATTCCTCCCCCCTTCCCCCACACCTGCACGGGCCAGGCGGCGCCGTCGCCCAGGGCGCAGATGGTGTGTCCCTCGATCTGTTTGCTGATCTCCCACAGCGCGTCGATCTCGGCCGCCTGCGCGTTGCCCTGCACGAACCGCCCCATCACCTTGTTCATCCAGTCCACGCCTGCGGGGGAAGGGAAGGGTGTGAGATGAGGGGGCAGAATTCATGATACAGCCTTCCCTCCCCCGCCCTTTTCTCCTCTCCTCGCCCCACAACCACCTCTCCCCCCTGCTCACCTTCCCGGCACGGCGTGCACTGCCCGCAGCTCTCGTGCTTGTAAAACTCGATGAGGCGAGCGATGGCTTTAATGATGTCGGTCTGGGGAGGGAGAGGAAGGTGAGGAAGAGGGAGAGGAGGAAGGTGGGGACCCTGCCGTGGCACAGGGTGGGGGTTCGATGGGTTGGGGGGGGTGTCCCTCCCTCCCTTACCGATTTGTCCATGACGATGACGGCGGCCGTGCCCAGCCCGCTCTGCGCCTGCACCAGGGAATCGAAGTCCATCAGCACCGTCTCACACACCGACTTGGGGAGCAGTGGCGTGGAGGACCCCCCCGGGATGACGGCCAGCAGGTTGTCCCAGCCCCCGCGGACACCCCCTGCCAGAGAATTGTTGGGGGGGGTAAAAGGGACAGGAGGGGCTGAGCAGGGCCCAACGCCACCCCGTCATGGCGCAGCCTTGGGGGGGACACACACTCACCAGCGTGTTTTTCGATGAGCTCCTTGAGTGGCACCGACATCTCCTCCTCCACCGTGCAGGGGTTGTTGACGTGCCCCGAGATGTTGAAGAGTTTCGTCCCCGAGTTGCGCTCCCGCCCGAAGCTGGCGAACCAGGCCCCCCCCCGCCGGCAGATGGTGGGGGCCACCGCCACCGTCTCCACGTTGGCCACCGTGGTGGGACAGCCGAAGACACCTGGGAGAGGACATGGGGAGCTCTGATGACATCCGGGCTCCGACAGGGGCAGGATGACTGCTTTGGGCCAGTGGCCGTTATTTCATCTGTAATTTTTAGTGGAAATCAGAGCCAAATAGAATCATAGAATCATTGAGGTTGGAAGAGACCGTTGGGATCATCGAGTCCAACCATCTCCCCTCCTCTACAAAGTCCTCCCCTACACCATGTCCCTCAGCACTGCATCTAAACGGCCCTTAAACACAGCCAGGGATGGGGCCTCCACCCCCCCCCTGGGCAGCCTGTTCCAATGCCCGACCACTCTTTCAGTGAAAAATTCCTTCCTAATGTTCAGTCTAAACCTCCCCTGTTGGAGCTTGAAGCCGTTCCCTCTCATTCTGTCACTAATTACCTGTGAGAAGAGACCAGCACCAACCTCTCTACAGTGTCCTTTCAAGTAGTTGTAGAGAGTGATGAGGTCTCCCCTCAGCCTCCTCTTCCTCACACTAAACAGCCCCAGCTCCTTCAGCCGCTCCTCATATGATTTGTTTTCCAGCCCCCTCACCAGCTCCGTTGCCCTCCTCTGCCCTCGCTCCAGCACCTCCAGATCTCTCTTGGATTGAGGTGCCCAAAACTGGACACAACACTCCAGGTGTGGCCTCCCCAGTGCTGAGCACAGGGGCACAATCACCTCCCTACTTCTGCTGCTCACACTATTTTTGATACAAGCCAGGATGCCATTGGCTTTCTTGCCCCCCTGGGCACACGGCCGGCTCATATTCAGCCCTTTGGCAATTCGAACCCCCAGGTCTCTTTCCTCCAGGCAGCTTTGCAGCTGATGAGAGCGGGGAGCGCCGGGGACGTACCCACGTCGGCGGGGAAGGGGGGCTTCAGGCGGGGCTTGCCCTGCTTGCCCTCGATGGACTCGATCAGCGCCGTCTCCTCCCCGCAGATGTAGGCTCCGGCGCCCCTCACCACAAAGACGTCAAAGGCGTAGCCCGAGCCGCAGGCGTCCTTGCCCAGCAGCCCGGCTTCGTAGGCCTCCCGGATGGCTACCTAGGGGGAGGAGGTGGGTGAGTGGGTCGGGGGGAGGGTTCCCCAAATCACAGAATCTTAGTGGTTGGAAGGGACCTCTGAGATCATCGAGTCCAACCACAAAAAAAAAAACAACCAAAAAAAAAAAACCAAACAAATACAAAACACACCATACCAAACGCCCACCAAAAACACCGCACCCACCAACTAAACCCCACACTCAACACCTCACCA